GATGGATATAATTGTTCTTTTTTTCACAAGAATAGATTTTATCAATACTTTATGCTTTTAAACAGTTAGATCAAAATGATAATTTTTTTTTGTTGAGCCCAAGGTATCTTTTGCCAGTAGCAATGACTAATCCCCTTGTTCTCACCATACACTTCCTAAAGGGGCTTTACCCTATGTTTGGTACGAGAAAAATGGAAGAAAGGAGATGGGAGGGAAGAAAAAATTGTAATGAGCTAGATTTAAAAATTTAGAGAAGTAGGTTTTTAAAATTTTAATAAAGAGATTAAGTAAGATGAAAGAGCAATAAAAATTAATTAAAAGCTTTTAGTCCCAATTTTTTAGTTTTTTAAATCGAACTCCTCAAAATTTTCCCTCCCCTCCTCTTACTTCTATTTTTCTCATACTAAATAGACCTTTAGTGCAAACCATAATATTCTCTTTATGTACATCGTCAAGGATCAAACCTCTAACTCGACACTTAAAGAACTCAGCTAAATAGCAACCATGTTAGGGCCCATCGTTTGAAATTACAATTTTTGTTTCATATGTCTCATGTGTCTTTTGGTAAAAGGACATTATTTTGGTGAAAAATTAAAATTCGAACGAAAGGTAATATAGTTTTAAATTAAACCAAACATTACCATTCATTTATTATTCTGATATTTTCTTAAATGCGCAAATAATGTGTACTTCTTTAATTTATACATTTCTTTCTGAAAATCCATAATTGCACATGCTTCCAAGAGGGGAAATATCTAGTTTTATATTATTGATCATTTTATTAAAAAAAAAAAGAAGGAGGGCAATATTTGATATATTGATTTTAATTTGGACAGTATCTCCTCCAAGTTCATTCCATGTGACAGGGTTTGTTTCTGCATCACTCAAACAACGATTCAAAGCTTATTTTCACACACATCCTTCAAACATTCTTCTTCCATTGCCGAAGTTTCAGATAATAAGAGAACAATATCACTTCAATTAATAATTAAGTAGTCTTTATAATGGTAAAATCCACTGTATTTTGAGGCATATGAAGCCGAGACTTTTACAGAATTCTTCAATATCACCTCATAATCCAAAGATCATTTTCTCTAAACTTATTAGTGTATGGACACTTATGATGAGATTGTATTGTTCATCAATTCTCTTGTCTTAAATTGCTCATATAAACTAGCGTCCTTAGGAACCACAATATTTCAACCATCAAAGTCAACAACCAACAAGGAAAGTCCTTAAAATTTTCTTTTATTGGTAACCACAATAATTCATTAGACATCAATACTGATAAAAGCATCACAGAAACAGAAGTACGATTTACAGACAGGCAAAATACAACAGCAAACAGCAGCAACAAGTAATACAACAATATGGTGATGAGTTAGTTAGGGGGAAAGAGCTCAGGAGGATGATGATGCTGGTGTGAACTGGAAGGAGGCATATGAGAGAGTGCCCATTTCAATTCCACTATGGATTAGTTTGGCTTTAGCATTTTCACCAGCAGCTCCTAATGCAACATGCAGTGGGTAAAAGTGATCCGGCCATGGATGAGCCATTCTTGCATGTGGTGCCTTCTGTTCATAATGATTCACATCTTCATACCTACAGTAAATAATTAATATCAATCAATGAGAACTTTAAGCTTTGTGGGAATATCTCAGTAATTAAACCATTTAAGATTATGACAAAAACTGGAGTTTCATAGCTCAGCTTTTCCATTTATCAGAATAAACAGAGGTCCAAAGGGTTAGCTCAATTGGTAAACAGAAATATGTCAGGTTCAATTCTTCTCAAGCGGGCTCAAGAATAATATCATAATTGCAGTGCAACAGAAGGCAGGTGAGAAAATAGATGGGACCATTAAATGAAACTGAGAGAAAAAATAGACCTACCTTCCTTCAAGGAGAGAACTAATTAACCAATCATCAAATTGTTTAGCCCAGGAAGCAACAGGGGGGTTAGGTTGAATGTTAAGTGCTCTCAAGTTATGGACTGCACTCCCAGAACCTATTATGAGGACACCTTCATCCTTAAGAGGGGCCAATGCCTTTCCCATGTTATAGTGATAGGTCCCATCCTGATCAGATTGAACAGATAATTGACAAACTGGGATATCAGCTTCAGGGTACATCAATATGAGTGGAACCCAAGCTCCATGGTCAAGCCCTCTCTTTTTGTCCTCATCAACACGGCTGAATCCAGATTGATGCAGCAGTTCCTTCACCCTCCTCGCCAATTGGGGTGCTCCAGGTGGTTGATACTTAAGCTGGTAAGTGAGTAATGAAGGAGACAGTCAGCAAAATGAACCTCATAAACATCAACTAAACACACCGTAATGACAATACTAAGTTGAACCAAAATTAGGTGTTTCAAGTCTTTATCATCATCATAATTTCTATAGCTTTCTGCTGCCACATTCCAGAGCTCAGTATCATCAATCAACTTCCTGCTTCTATAGATCTTGATGATTTAAATTGAAGGCCAATCAATATGCCAAGAACAGAAAAGGACCTCCATCATCTCTAATAGTTTCAAAAATACTTGCTTAATCGAAAAGGTACTGATCATTATTATCATTATCAGTATTAAAACAGAAGGGTTTCTGTTTCTATGAGATTAATAATTAGGCGGAATCCAAACCTTGTACAAAGCTTTGGGGAAGCCATAGAAGTCGTAGATGGTGTCGTTGCGGTTAACGACGTTGACCGAGGGAACGGCGGTATCCCAGTGGCCGGAAATGACGAGGATGGCGGAGGGTCTCTGGGGATAAAACTCCTTCCACTTCTTCAAGAATTGCGACGCCGGAATGGAATCGTCAATGGGCAGAGTGGGAGATCCATGGGAGATGTAAAACGTATCCTTCAATGCCATTATTGTTTTTGATCGCTGAATTTGGAGATTATGATTCTCTTGACACAAAAATCTGATCAACCAAGTCGGAATTATAAATCTATATATAGAGTATTATAATCTAATATATAGAGAGTTTGCTGCCTTTGACTCGGTAGCTTCAAATTGAATCGGATATGGCTGGCCTTCTCTTCTACGCGTCTGGATTTATATATTCCAGAAGAGCGTTCGGTAAGGGAAATAGACAAATGTTTTAAATCATGGATTCGTTATTGATTCGGTAAAACTACTCGCTTTCAAGTTGTAAGTTTCAACCACAATGCTTAAGTTTAATTAATTTTTAGTTTATTCATTTTCAGTTTTATTGGTGAGATGTATTTTAATTATGTGTGATTTTAAACTTTTAATAATTAGTCCCAAAACAATTATTTTTTATTAACTAACTGGCCGAAAGGAAGTTAGCAAATATTACTTACAGTGTTTAACATAAGAGTTATTTATGGATTGAATTTAGTTTTATACAAGAGTATAAGAATACAGTCCATTTTACCTTTTAAAATTTCCTAAATTATCTCTTTGATTATCCTATTTATTAAAAATATTTTTACGATAAAGTAGTTTCAATACACATAATTAAATATAATAGTTTAAAAAAATCAACATAAATTTGTTACAAATAATTAACTTTAACTAATTTTTTAATATACACAAACAAACTAGTTATTTAATTATCATACTAAAGATTGGAAAAGGTAATTGAAAAGGGACAAAAGAAAGACAATAATTGAACGTCCTTGCTGGATAAGATCAAGGGATAAAATTATCAAGTCATTTTTTTTGTTTTAATTTTTTTTATTGCTAATATCTAACTCATTTTTAAATTTAGCTATGAATTGATTGGTTAAATTAATCTGCAATTTAAAGTATATAATTTTTCTTTTCTCATATAAACATGAACAATGCCATTACTGAAACCTCTTATTCAATTGCACCCGACAGCCTCACCCAAAAAAAAAAAAAAAAACCCACAGTTCGACGCCCCCAAAGAAAGAAAGTTCTAGTAGATATATGAGAGCTGTAAAAAAAATCATACATGGCATAATGAAATTGTAGATGAGTTTTTTCTTGGAACAAAATTATTTATCTTCCTTTATTTACTCAAATGTAATTTTCACACTAACGAATAAAGGAGCAAAATCGGACTTAAGTATAAATCAAACTTTATAGTTATAAATCAATAAATGCAAGCATGATCTTTCATAAACATTTTGTATTTATTACTTGAAATATTCGACATAACTCATAAACTAATAAACTATAACATTCAACAGGATCTATCCGTATATACAATTATATTATCAATTGGAATGAGTGGCGAGGGAAATTTTACATATACAAATAAGAGCATTTTAGTACTACCTCTTATCTTTATTATAAAAATTAGTTTAATATTTAATTTTATCATAAATATAAGATCCTATTTTATTTTATTTTTTATATTTATTCATGTTTTTCAAAGTAATTTTTATAGTAGTTGCACATGTTAAAAATTTCATTAAATGGTAATTCTAGTTAATACTATCTCCGGTCCTAATTATAAAGCCTGGTTTGTAGACTACAAATAAGATCTTATAATTAGGACTGGAGATAATATTAACTAGAGCTACCATTTAATGATTACAAATGATACCTTATAATTAGAACAGGAGGTAGTACTTATGATTAGCAAGGGCATTGTAGGAAAGATAACATATATTTATTACGAATAACTAAATAAATTTTCTTAATCTACTCAAATTAGTCAAATACTCCTCCAATTCTTAATATAAGACCTATTTAACTAATTTGATTAGATTAAGGAAGTTAGGTAAGTTAGTTAATTATAAGAAAAATGATACATTTTTCCTAAAACACCATAATCAGCTTTCTTAATATCCTTTTTCCCTCTTCTACTTGATTATAATCAAGAAGGAAAAAAACCGGACCGGACCGACCGGTTCAACTAGAAAACCGATGAACCGGTCCAAAGTCCAGTCTGGTTTAAGTAGAAAACCGGTCAGCTGTTGAACCGGAAAATAACTGGTCAAGCCGGTATTAAACCGGTCAACCGTCCGATTTAGGGGCTGACCGGTTTAATATTTTTCCCCTCCCTAAACCCAAAACGACGTCGTTTGATGGTTGGGTTCGGTCAATTCACGCGGTCCCTCCCTCATCCTGGCCAGACCGCAGACCAGATTCCCCCATTCCCATCTTCGTTTCGTTGAGACGTTGAGTTCAAGTGCGCCATCGAGTGTTCGACCATTCTCCCTTGCAGTTGTAGCGTCGTCAAGTGTTCGAGTTCTCCCTTGCAGTTGCAGCGCCGTCGAGTGTTCGAGTTCTCCCTTGCAACGCCGTCGAGTGTTCGACCGCTCTCCCTTGCAGCGCTGTTGAGTTAAGTGTTTCGTTGAGTTCGAGTGTTTGACCGTTCTCCCTTGACCAAGATTCCCATTCCCTTCTTTGTTGAGTTCATTCCAGTGTTCGACCGGTCTCCCTGCCCCAGATCCATTGCTGCTCGCCTTGCCTGAAATTAAAAAGCATCCTTCAATCTCTGGTTCAATCAATCAGATTCATATTGGCTTTGGCGCATTGGATAAGCTCGAAAAACATTCCCTCCCCTTTCAGCTAGGTTGTGATTTTAGGAATAAATTGATAAATATCTCTGCTTTGATTTCTGCCTTTCTCCACCGGCCGAGAGGTTTGGGAAATGGGAAGTGAGGGGAGATGAAAATCTGTATCTTAGTTCAGCTTCTTGAGAGTTCTATATTTCTACTTTGCTTTCTGCCTTTCACCGGCTTCACGAATTGCCTCTGCCTTTCGAGTTTCTCCACTGGCCAATTGTCTAGTTCTACCTTTTCACCGGATTGTTTCTTTAAAACTAAAACAAATAAACAATGTTAGAAGTGTTAGAATGATGAATATGATCGATTGTTTTATGCTTTCTCCATTGAAGCTCTGTTGCTGACTTGCTGTGTAGCTGATAAGTAGAAGTGTTCTATTTTAATGTTATGAATTAAATTATATTATTTTAATATGACCAGTTTAACCCCGGTCTGACCTTTGGTCCGACCAGTGACCCTTGACCCACTGCCTCGACCGGTTTAATCCCCGGTCCGGTTTTTTGTTCCTTGATTATAATTGAGGGAGTATCTATAGGGATAATTTAGAGAAAATTGATAAATATGATAAATGGATCTTATATTTAGTATCAAAACCAACTCAAGAATTGAGTCTTATATTAAGGACCGGAGGAATAATTCTTATATTAAGGACTGAAGGTAGTAAATGTATTTGTAGTTTGGCTTCATATACCTCAAAATATTTTTTAATTTTTTGTTAAATTCATACTTTTAAATGTGGGCACATTTGATATAATTATCGCGCATTGTTCTGATGAGTAAATGCTTTATATGTAAGAAAATTGCAAACAGCATCGTATGTGAAGCGTGCATTATCTCCTTTTTTTTTTTTTTTCTTTTTTGGTAATATGCATTATATCCTTTTTGTCATAAGGAAATGATGGGATAGATTGAAAAAAAATTACTACCTCCTGTCCTTAATATAAGACCCTGTTTGACTTTTATTTTGATTCTAAATATAAGACCCCAATCTACTTTATCTCTCATATTTACTCAATTTTTTTCAAGATAGTTCTTCTAATAATTATAGTTCTAGTCAATACACTTGATTAGTAAGGATATTTTAGGAAAGACAACACCTATTTAGGACAAATAACTAACTCAACTTACTTTTTTAATTTTCTCAAATTAGTCAACTGGCTCTTATAATTAGGACCGGAGGTAGTATTACACTCTGGTCTCTACTATAAATTACTTATAATTCGTTTTTATAAATTAAGTAATTAAATATAGGGTATCTTAAATTGATAAAATTTTTAAAATTTGTCCTTATTAAATTTTTTTTTTTCCCCTTTACGTTTATAAGAGGGGAGATGGTGACGCTGAATCGCCGGTGGATGTTTATGCAAAAAGTTCGGTAAGATTACGTGTCACGAGGGGGTTAGGTAGAGTGGGTTGGATCTGAGATGGCATGACCATTTTTGTTTGTTTTCGAATAATTTCATTCCCGCCATTCCGCTAATGTTTCCAAGAAGAAACACTTTTTTTTTTTAAAGAGAAAATTGTAATTAGGTTCCACCTAAGGAAATTAAATACAAAAAAATTCCTTAAAATCATAAAATTATTCTAAAATCTCAAGAGACTTTTTTGCAATAAATTTTATTTGTTTAATTATTAAATTAGCTTTTTTTTTTAAGTTTGTATTGACAACTGAAAGAATAGTGGTTGACAATTTAGGGTGCAAGGATTGACAATTATCGTGGCTAGTTTGACAACTTAGGGTGTGATATGCTGAGAAAATGTGTTGTCAAACCAGTTGTGATAGTTGTCAATCCTTGTACTTTAAGTTATCAATCACTGCTCTTTCAGTTGTCAACACAAACTTAGAATAATAAAAAAAAAAGGTAATTTCGTAATTAAATAAATAAAATTTATTGCCAAAAAGTCTCTTGGAACTTCAGAATAATTTTATGATTTTAAGGGACTTTTTTGTATTTAATTCTCTTGGATGGAATCTAATTGCAATTCTCTCTTTTTTAAAATACCAACGAAATTGAATTTAGTAGAATAGGTTAGTTCTCACATTGTGAGAACTAAAGTTAGATTTTTTTATTAAAAAAATCCATATTTAGTATCTGACAGTATCTTAAACAAGATTGCCTCCATTCGGAAAATACATGTGCCTATAAAAAAACACATTTTTTAAGATAAAAAAAAAGTCTGCATCTCACTAGCATTTCTTTTACTATAAAAAAAAAATGTAAACTTTATACTATTAAGATAAAAATTAAAAAAAAAATTTAAGATTTAATTCTATACGGTATACGTATTTCTTTTGGAATAAGAATGAGACCTGTGTATTTTATATGGAGTTTCAAATAAATTATAATATTTGGGATTCATAGAGTACAAATTATTGTATTTCATATTGATAATTTTGGAAGCCGGAAAAAAATTGGCATTTGTAATACATGTTGTCTTGAAACTGGGGCTGACAAGATGTTGAAGTTGTCCGATTTGTCCAATATTTTTAATAACAAGAAGTTGTCAATGTCGAAATTGTTGAACAGACGAAGAACATGCTATTAATTCCTGGTAGTTTGAAATCCTCTCTTATAGGAAATTAGTGAACTTACATTTGCTTACTTGTCTAATTTCAGGTAAATAATAATACTTTGAATAGCCATTCAAGTATCAACACAATTGAATAGTCATTGTTGCATGGGTTGACCAATATATGCGGCTGCATATCAGATCCCATTTATCATAAATAGTTAAATAATTAAGTTTTACATACTTTTTATTATATTTTTTGAAGTTTTAATTATTACCCCCTTATTTTTTATGGCCTGAATCACCTCCCTTATTGACTTACTCTTCATCTTCCAATCAAAATAAACATTTCATTAAATTATACTACATTCAATCCTTAATATAAAAGCTAATTTGATATTCAATTTAGTTTTAAATATAAGACACCAATCTACTTTATCTCTTATATTTATTCTTTTTTTTTTCAAATTTTTATCAAACAATAGTTCTAGCTAACACTTGACTGGCAAAGATATTTTGAAAAAGACCACTTATCTATTACAAATAATTAACCTAATTAATTTTCTTAATCTATTCAAATTAATTAACTAGTTTTTATATTAAAGACCGGAAGTAATAATACTACTTGTGAGATATGAACAACTCAATCCTCAGATTCCATGCAATTTATGAGGCTCAAGAACTACAATAATGTAGATTCCATACAATTTCGGCTACTTCATTCTTCCTGTGTGTGGGGGCGTGTTTGCCAGAATTTTTTCTTTCTTTGTTTGTTTTTTTTTTTTTTTTTTTGCCAACGCCAGAATTTTTCCTTTAGACTTAGTGATGAGCAATTTGTTCAATTTTATTATCATTCTTTCAATATTTATCAACATATTTAGGGTCCAAAATTTAGGAAGACAAACATAACTTGCAATTTTTAGTTGTCTATCACATCCTTTATACCCAGGCGGATACCTGCTCCATCATTAGGTAGTAATAAAATCCTGTGTATAACAGATAGCATGACGTAGCTACTAGCTACCATACTGATTTGCCCAGAAAAGAGCTACCGCACTGATTCACTATATTTTAAACTGCATGCAATATTGTATTTGGGTTAAGAGTTATTTACACTCAATATTTGCAAATGAGTTGTGGATATCCAGAATTTTTCTCTCTCTAAATATCATCCCAAAAGTGTTAAAAAGGAAGCAATATAATCCTTGTTGATATAAAATGTTAACAGTAATAGATTTTTTCCTATCAACTCTTTTTTAAATACTTTTGAGACAACATTGGGAAAAAAAAAACTTTCTGATATCCACAACTTATTCATGAACCCTTACGTAGCAAACATGACTCCCTTTTATATTTTTACCAGTCAAGAAAACAATGACACAGAACACATTCCCTTTTTAAAATAAAAAACCAAGGGGGGAAATGAACAGAGTAAATCAAGCAGGCCACAAAATGAGGGGCAGCTTTGCTACCTCTCAATATGTCCACATAGCAAAATAAAATAATAGAAGAAACAACATAGAATCTTTTTTTTTTTTTGGTTTACTTTTTTCTGCTTTTCATTTTTTTCCTTGCAGAATTTCGCTTACCAATTCTAATTGGCTGGGCAGCGTAATTTCTGAGCTTTTCAAGGATCTTCCTTTCACTGATGCGCAGCACCAAAGAATGAAACAGCTTTCTTTCCCTAACACAGTTACACCTGCCTAATGTCTCAATATCATCTTCTATTGAGTTACCATAAAGACTTTCACGCATATCAGCAACAGAGAACAAAGCATCACAAACTTTTCTAGTCCGCAAGGATTCCTTACTCATATCAGATGCTTTCTTTGTCAAGATATTGCAATCTCCTGAAAGATAAGTTTCACTCGATTCATGAACATTCCCTGCAACTGACACCGATAAGTCTAACTTATGGTACGCATCTTCTGATAATAACATAATGTATAATAAAATCAGGAGTTCAGTCTGTGGTTCTCCATCAGATGATATCTCAAAATATTCCAAGTTTTGGCTGACACATGCAGAATAGCCCAGCCTTCTCCAAAGAGAGACTCTAGCTCGAGAGTATCGAGATGAAAACAAAGAAGAACACCACTGAAGAACCAGCTCCAAATCAATGTTCACAATATCATAGGAGTTATCTTGCTCAGTAAATCCATATCTATGAAGCAAAGCAGCATTGCCCATTGAACCGTATGTGTTAAATATCTGACAGGAAGAAGAGATCAATTCGCAATACATTAGCAATGGAAAGGAATGAAAATACAGTAAACTTGGAGCAAATAAGAATGAGAATTTTTCCAAAAAAGAGCTATAAGAAAAAGAATATAAGTAAACTCTGAGGAAATAAATAATTATGTTTGGTATGTCACGAAAAGAAATAGATATTGTGCTCCATATATGTGTTGGCTTGGTGAAAATGCAAGAATGCAAGAAAAATCAATCATAAAACCATTATATCCCTTGTATAAAATACACTAAAACATTCATTATCAATATTCAAATAAATAAAAGTACCTTTTACATACCCTGAACGAAACAACATTAAAATATCAAGTCTCAAATTTTTTAATTTGTACAAATATCTTAAAATTAGCAGTAATATAATAATCATTTTTTGCCCAAAAAAACATAAAATAATCATTTTTAATTACCACTAATAGATAATCTTATAATTAAAAAATAAATTTTAAATTATAAATAAGAAATCATCTAGATCAAAGTGGCGTCAACATGTAACTGAGAATTCACTAAACCTAAATACCGTTGGTAAGTAGCAAAATGAATGGGCAATTTAGTCGATTAACAGATGCTTTCCGAAAATTAAGTCAGATTCCATCATTTATTGGATTGAATCACGATTATTTCAAAATACGGTTCTCGAATCTCGATAACAAACACCACTGTCATTCTGGGGCAAAATGGTTTTTCCCCTTCTCTTTCCATTCTAAAGAATAAATTTTTCTCTGTTATGTCAGAATGAATTGTGTGCACAATAATAAATCTACAATCCACCCAGGTATTCCATGCTCCTCCTACGAAACGTGTCCTTAGTTTGCTCCCCCAGCCTCTCCCCCCCCCCCCCCAAAAAAAAAAAAAAAAAAACAAAGAAGGGTGTTGGCGGGGGTTTTGTGTGTGTGTGTGTTTTTGTTGTGTTTTTTGGGGGGGGGGTCTTATTTTCTCCCCCCAACCTACAGTAAACTCCATCTAAGCAAACTGAAATTGTATATTACTACCTCCAGTCCTACTTATAAGACCTTATTTGTAAATTACAAACGAGATTTTATAGTTAGGACGGTAGTACAAGAAAACTCTTGTATGAAAAGATAGGAAGGGGGGAGAGAGAGAGACTCAAGTCCATTATTCCAAGAACTGATTATAATAACCCCTCTTGTGCCCTTTCACAGACCATAATCCCTAATACCCTATTAACTAACCTAACTACTAATTCCCTTAACTATCTTCCCTTTCATCTGTTTATTACACAACAAAAACTATAGGAAATCACGTGTCCTTTCCAAACAGAAATTATAGCCATGGAGCCAAAACTACAGAAGATGCAAATGAATGGACATAAACTCTTGAGGTTCATTAGTGAGAAATTATGCCAAACTAATCAATCCAAAGAAGGTTGAATGAAGCCTCACATCACGAAACGGAAAAGAGAATTCATACCTCAGCTCCAACGCTGACATCTTTTATCATAATCATCTCCAACATTGAAGAATCATCTCCCACAACTGAGGATGACTCCAAGTTGCCATCACTGTATTTCCCAATAAGAGCAGTATCCAACTCAGTCTCATCCATTGAAGAATTTTCAGCCAATTCTTCTTCATCAGTGACACACTCATTTCCATCATCATCATCATCATAGTTTGATGATACAGCAGTGAAATGCACATCCTCAGCATCTGTTTTATGATTGAATCTGAAATTCAAAGTAGATCAGAACAGATCATTAATGTAGGAAGGATTTGGCATCTTCAATTATCATAACATGCATTTTGCCATAACATAACCATGAATACATTATTTGCTAAATGGTTGACAATGAGATTAAGGACGCATCCTTAGAGCCACCCCATTTCGATTGATTTACAGATCACAATGTTAACAGATTGTATATAGGATTAATACTTGTGCAGATGGCACAAAAATTTTCCATGTGTTGGTGGATTATTTTCCAGAATATTTCCTTTTCTAGAATGCTTTTATCAGGCATTTAAGTGGCCCATGATTCTCAGCTGAATCTTGGGGAGTGAATAGCATGCTTGTTGTTCATCTCTCCCCTATATGCATCGATCTCTACCCTGTTAATAAATGAATGAAAATCATTCTCTCATTTTTGTTATATGATCATCCCGCAAGTTTTTGGAGTTTGTCAACTTAAATCATGAGGGTAGTTGAATGCAGTATACAGTTTCCACTTGAATATCCTTTTTTTTTTTTCCTTTGGCCCATGCATACGCTTAGAACACGTATCTTAATAAGGTACAATCTGCATCCATATGGAGTAGAGTGACGTTTCCATGCGCCCAAAGGATAGATATATCAGACAATAAACCATTCTCATCTTAGTACTGCATAAGGCCATCTAGTCAAAAATAGAAAGAAATATCAATCAATTGCATTACCAGGGAAGTTAGACGGTTCAATTATAATAAAAAATGTAGTTCCATCAGCCATGTGAGGCCTAAGTATAGCTATGGGGAAAAAAAACCACAGCAAACGACAGCATATCTACACTATCATCTCTCCCACCCCAAAATAACTGTTTAGCTTAGAACACCAGCAAGATAGTATAAATTGAGGAATAACATGATTTAGTATATTAAGACGTGTCCCTAATCAATTAAAGTTCAGGTAAATTAAACTTGGATTTTAATGGAAGTAGTCCCTAACCTAATAGAGATTAGGTGGAGAAATAGACTAATATGGACTGAGAACAATTAATCATATATGTAAATTGAGTTATTGACATCTCCGGTTTACACTAATTCACACTTAGACCAAATTCTTCTGAGTATCATCATGTAAGTTGAGCTATTTCATCTTATTTTGTTTATTTCATATTTGAAGTTATTTTGGGTACTCAGATTTGAAAAGTAACTATTTTTCAAATCAAATAAAATATGTAACAATTAGTCAGTGGAAAATTACTTAAAATTTTAAAAATGCGTAGTTAATATTAGCAAGAAAACAGAAAAATAAAAGCAATTAATAAGACTATTTAAAATATTGAAATCAATCAACAAAATTTTCAATTAAAAACACAATAAAATAAGTACATGTCTAGTATCAAAAATCATTCATTCAACTGTGCTTCTTCTCACTGGAAAGGAAATCTGGATGGTATTCTCACATGAAATGCCATATGAGATATGAAAGATTTGGAGTTCTTTTAATCCAATGAATTTAACATCTTAAGAGGGCAACGCCATGTTGAAAAGACACAAAATAACAGGAAGTGAGTATCACAAACGAACATTACACGTATGAGTCCTTTAAGACAAGTAGAGAAATACCACCAATTAAGGTAGAGATGATAGCTCCATAATTGCACACATTTCGTTCCTTAACCACTTACATGGTTGTGATATAAACTATGTGTTGGTTAGTGAAGGTTAGAACTTAGAATGATGTTTGAACGCGCAAACATGCAACTTATCACTGCAGACAGACATATTATAGGAACAACAAAAAGCAGATTGAAGTTAATCTATTATACTTCAAGGAATAGTATAGCGGATTCTAATATGCTAAATTAGAAAAAATTGCAAGACATATAGAGGACATCGTCAAGGGTCTTACTCACAGGTCAGCCAAGGGAACCATGCCAAAGCCATGGTAATCATCTATCTCAAAAGCTCGTGAAGCAATAAGACTTCTTGCAGCAAAATATTCTTCTACACCGAAATATTTTAGGTTAAGCTTTGAAGGTGAAAAATCCAAGACGGGCAGAATATTCTCTTTCCAGTCCTCATACATAAGAGCTTTGTCCTCTTGCACCGTCTGCCTAGAGATCAGAAAACTTAAAAGTAGCATGACAAGATAATAATACACAGAAAAAAGGAAGGTCCCGATGTGATCATAGCAGCACATATCAAAAGGAGAAAAAACCCAATGCATGGTAAAACTCATCTGTAATTAAAACACACATAATCAATAAACCCAAACTTTCGCTTGCTTTTTTTCTACACAAAACAAATTCGAGCAGTTAATTATTAATTAATGCAACACCATCATATACAGGCATTGTCTGTAAGGCCAAATGATCCTTACAAAGCACATTTATGCCAAACAACAATCATAAATACCTTGTGTAGCTCAGTCCCACTCAAAAGCTCGTTCACTTCGTTCAGAGTCCACACTAACGGCAGGCACTCTTGGTGAGGCAAAACCTGAAGGTAGCCAGCCCAGGGTGACTTCTCGCCCAAGCTTCTCTCATACATTAGAGCCACTGCTAGTCCCAGATTACCAGCCAAACCATAGTCTTCAATCATTTGACTCGCCCCACTAGTCTTAATCGTCAGGCAAGCATCCTTCGGTATTCTGGCAACAACATCGCCTTCCTTCAACTGGCACAATGCTCTCACCGCAATTCCATTTCCGGGATCGTCTACGAACTCCAGGCCATCGCTGATTTCGAAACCCCGGGATGCCATCCATCGCTTGAATGCCCTAAGCCGCCTATTCAAAGAAAGAGAGCGATTTCAGTCGCAGAAACAGACAGTCACACTCACAGCACAGTTAATGACCCCAGCTGTTTGGAAGAAAGGAAAAAACGACATTGGCTAAGATTTTAAAGCCACGAGTGTAAGGAAAGTGCTTCTTTCGGATTTTCTCGGGAAACAAGCATTGGAGGTATGCAATACCTGGAGTTGGCCATGAAGCGAAGTGTCGGGGTCTGAAGAACAAAGGAAGGCGTGAGCGGCTAGAGCTAGAGCCTGGAGAATTACTGATGATCCCTTGTTTTTCTTTCTTTCATTCTTTTCTTTCTTTTTTTTTTTTTTTTTAAAATGGTTTCATTCGCTTTTTGTGCTCGCGGATTGTCTTTTTCTTTCCGGCTTGAAAGGCGAATTTTGATGGGCCTGAAGGGTATCTACAAACGCGGCAGACCCATCAGGTCGGGGCTTTGTGTTTTGGAAATTAAAATTTACTACTTCTCCGATCAATGTAGGATTGTATGAAAAAAAAAAACATTTAATATAAGATCTAATTATTAAGTTAATCTTAGTTCTAAAAATAATAATTATTTTTTATATTTATTTATTTTTTCTAAATTATCTCTATTGATTATTCTTAAATCATAATCAAATAAGAGAAAAAGGGAAGATATTAAACAAGATGATTATGGTATTTTGAGAAAAATATGCCACATTTCTTAATTTTTATAATTAACTAGCTTACTTAAACTTTTTAATCTAATCAACTTAGTTAAATAAGTCTTATATTAAAGACCAGAAGGATACTTAATTAATAGTTTTTGTGGGCTCATGGGCAAATAAAAGTGAGCCACGTGAGCCTTGTGGAAGGGTTCCCCAATTCTAATCCTAGTTTATAAATTTAATATTATTAGGGAAAATCTCATTAAAATCCCTTGAAATACTGAAACCCCAAATCAGTATCCCCAGCTAAATAAATTTCAAATCTGTCCATGTGATTAATTTGAGATTTCTGAATGTTATGCCTGCTGTCCCTCACTCTTTGAAGAAAAACGTGACCAGGTGAGCGATAGCTGGACAATTTTTAGCAAAATTGAATGAACTAAGGAGGGATTTGATTTGACCACTTTTTAATGACCCAAAAGAGATATAACTATTGAGCCACTAAAATTTCTTAATAAAGTAGTATAAAATAATATATGGGATAATTATCGATCTTTAATCATACTAACTACAAATTATATTAAGTGCAATATAATAATTAGTATTGACCATAACGGATTAGTGATTACTTACTCTTTTCACCAAGCTCACAATTATGTTACAAGTTTAAAAAAAATATGGTGTAAACACTATGTTATGATTCTCCCATCATCATAATATAATCTCCCATAATCTTACTCTCATTTTTTAATTTTAAATTTAAGATCATTTATTTTAAGTCGCCTTCATGTGATTTTTTTTCTTCACTTCCTTTCGATTCTTTACATTTGTATTTTTTTACTGTTTCTAAGTTTTGTTAGTTGCCATTTAACCGGTATAAATTTCGAGGGAATTATTTAAAATCAAACATAAAATTTTATCGCAAAGTTGGTTGAATAACTAAATTAATAAAATAACTCATCCAAAGAAAATAACCACTACAAATCATGAGGAATTTGATCGATACGCATGATCACAAGAGATTGCTGTACAAAATCAAGGCGTTGAAATCTGACGATATCATAAAAATGCAAAATAAGTAATTATATCAATTAATATGCAAATAGGTATTGTATTTAAAAAGCTATAAATGCATACACAACGCATCACTAAATCCAGAAGTGAATATCAATTATGGCTTCTGCTAAGCTTACATTTTATACTCTTCTATCCATAGCTTTTTCTCTTTTGCTTCCATTCCAAAGTCTTGCTGCTGATGGCAATAATACTGCCACATTAGTTGTAGATATTGGTTCTGGAAAGCCAATCTCCAAACATTTCTTTGGAGTATTTTTTGAGGTGAACATTTCATGCAATATTTAATGCATATATATGCTTTTGACGTAGTCCAAAAAAAGACTAATTCACTGTTTCATGTAGGAAATTAATCATGCTGGAGTTGGAGGATTGTGGGCAGAACTTGTCAATAATAGAGGTAAAAGCGATCTCGATGTTCATAATCTCTCTCTAATTAAGACTTTTCTTCTTTAAACTAATCATGATTAAGAATATGATTAAACTTGTTGTGCTGTTGTATGGGTTTAGGTTTTGAAGCTGGAGGCACAGCACTTCCCTCAAGCATCTCTCCATGGACAATAATTGGAGATAGATCATATATTAATGTCCAAGCAGAACCTACCTCCTTGTTTCCAACAAATCCAATGGCTGTCAAAATGGATATCCATTGTCCTTCTCCAGCTACATGCCCTAATGGCGTTGGTCTTTCTAACCCTGGTTTTTGGGGAATGGTGATGAAGCTTCTCTCTATCTATTTTATACAGATATATTTGAAGAACTATTTGTTCAATTATATATAACATCACTTTTATTCTGATTCTTGGTGTATTTCTTATTTTTAATTCTTTTAGAATATTGAGCAAGGGAAGAAATATAGAGTTGTATTCTACCTTCGTGCATTAGGACCAATTAATTTGAAAGTGGCATTTACAGGAGCAGATGGAAAAGAGTTGGCTTCAAATAACATCGAGTACTTAGCAATTTCACTACATGTGCATGCACTGTTGCTTCCTATTTATATATATACACACACACACTAAAATTGATTTTACTTTTTAGGGCTTTTGCAACTTATGTTGCACAGTGGAAAAGATTTGAGACTATCCTAGGAGCAAAAGCTTCGGATGTTCAAGCAAGTCTTCAATTGACAACGAACCAGAACGGAGTTATTTGGTTGGATCAAGTCTCAGCAATGCCTTTGGATACATATAAGGTCTTACATATATTGATCAACTCATAATTTTTAAGCATATTAAAAACTTTAATGAGAATTTATTTTTCTAACACATTCTATATTTTTTTTCATTTTTAATAATTACTCAGGGGCATGGCTTTAGGAAAGATCTTTTCGAAATGATGGCTGATTTGAAACCGAGATTTCTTAGATTTCCTGGTGAGCATTGAATTGATACAAAAAATGCTTAAAATAAAAAAAGTTTTGTCAGATTCTTTTTTATTTTTTTTTATTTCTATTATACTCACCTAGGATTTTTTCCATTGGATTAGGTGGTTGTTATGTTGAAGGTGATTATTTGAGAAATGCCTTTAGGTGGAGGGATACTATTGGACCATGGGAGAAAGACCTGGTCACCTTAATGATGTGTGGGGTTATTGGGTTGATGATGGATTTGGCTATTTAGAATTTCTTCAGGTAAGTTCCTATCAATTCTCAAATTCAAGACTAAACATTGTTATATAGAATAATCATTGAACATTTTTGTTGTTTTGAAACAGTTATCTGAAGACCTTGGCACTACTCCAATATGGGTATTTAATAATGGTATTAGTCATCATGATGAAGTTGATACTAGTGATGTTGACCCTATGGTTCAAGTATATACTCTTCTTTTTTTTTAAAAAAAAATTCCTTTCTTATTAGTTAATGATCTTTCTATAAGTTCATTTAATTTATTTTTGTCAATTAAATTTTAGGAAGCTCTTGATGGTATTGAATTTGCAAGAGGTCCTACCACATCAAGATGGGGTGCAGTAAGGGCTTCTTTGGGTCACCCCAAACCTTTTGATATGCAATATGTTTCAATTGGGAATGAGGATTGTGATAAGAAGAATTACCAAGGAAACTACCTCAAATTCTATAATGCCATAAAGCATGCATATCCAGATATGCAAATTATATCAAACTGTGATGCCACTGATAAACCATTGAAGCATCCAGCAGATTTGTATGACTTCCATAGATATTTAAGTGCCAAGACTTTCTTCTCAATGTACACTAAGTTTGATAATGTGCCTCGTTCCGGCCCTAAAGCATTTGTTAGTGAATACGCCGTTACTGGTAAAGATGCAGGAAGTGGAAGTCTCCTATCTGCATTGGGCGAAGCCGCATTCCTTATGGGATTAGAGAAAAATAGGTATGTTATTGTTGAATCGTAAATTTCCACACCTACTCATTCAGTTAGTTAGCCACTAATTGATTATTTTCATTTACCTTGTGAGCTGAAACAGTGAGGTTGTTGAATTGGTTAGCTACGCACCGCTCTTTGTTCATACAAATGATAGAAGGTAATGTTTTCATGTCTTTTTCACCATAAGCTTTCTCATCCATCATTTTACATGGTTAAGATTTATGAAATTTGTTTCTGAATAATTATATATATATAGGTGGATGCCCGATGCTATTGTATTTAATTCTCATCAAAGTTATGGAACCCCAAGCTATTATCTACAAAAACTATTCTCAGAATCTAGTGGAGCAACATATTTGAACTCAACACTTCAAGCTTCTTCATCAGTTGTTGCATCTGCAATTGCTTACACGAGTTCAGTAGACAACAAGAGTTACATAAGAGTAAAGGTATACAAGAATTAATCCATGATGATCTTCGATTCCAACCAAAAAACCTACAAGTTGTGCTTTTCTCATTAGAAATTCAAAATATTTGTGTAGGTTGTGAACTTCAATGACAATCCAGCCACTTTTAAGATCACTTTCAATGGTTTAGAGGCAAATGCAAAACTATCTAAGGCTACAAAGACAGTGCTTACATCTCCTAATGTGAAGGACGAGAATTCCTTCAAAGAGCCTTCAAAGGTGCATAATTACCTGTATCCTTTTGTTAATTTGCAGTAATTGTATTAAAATTGGTCTGTGAGTTGCACAAAAAGGTCTTTTGAAAAATATATTTCTTACATATGTTTTTATGTGTGCAGATAACTTTGGTGCAAACTCCTTTGGAGATTGCTGGAAAGGACTTGACTTTCAAGCTTCCTCCAAATTCAGTCACAGCTTTTGATTTTCCAAAGTGATTAGGAATCTCCTTTTGAAGATAGGAACATATGTATGCAATAAACATTTAGGTCCCTTGCAATTCTTTTCTGTTTTAGAAAATCCTTAGTGTTTTAATTAGTGGTGGCATCAATTTAGTAAACTTATATTTATCTTGTTTTATTTCCCCCTCTAAGAATTAACTCATTATGTGTTCTTTCATTCATAATTTCCTTTTCTTTTGTTTTTCAAAGAGTTGCCCACAAGAGAACGCACATGAAATAGTTGAAAATCTTATTCCCTTGCATCTTATTCCCTTGCAA